CCAGCCACTTCATGGGAGAAAGATAAGTCTTTCTTTTATCTCAAAGATTTAAAGTCTTGGAAACCCTATACAGATGGGGGTCTCTGCAAGTTGGAACCGACTCAATAACATTTAACAACAGTGAAGTCCAGATGAAATTCAGTCTTCTAGTTTACCAGATCATGGCATGGTGTATAGTTTCAATCTCTGCTTTGTCTGTGTTCAACAAGAATAAATTCAACATTATTTATCAACAGAAAGATAATAGGAGCAAAGGTATCTGGCTATGGGTGAAATCTGGTAGATAAATGGAGGACAACAATATGGATAAGAGACTTATTTTAAGTTGCCTATCTTCTTGAGGCTCTCAAAATTGTACATAGCCATCCTATATAGAACCATGAAATGGTTCCTAGTGATGGCTTATTTTTCTTTTTTTTGAAACTTTTTATTGATTGAAGGTTTACAGAGAAGATCATCAGTTTTACATTCAACAAATCATACACTTTGCTTCATCTCAATGATTGAAATTCCCTCCATATAACAACAGTTATCCCGATTTCTCCCTGTGGTCTTTATTTCTATTCCGCCCTCCTTCCCAACACTTCTCAACTTTGTCCTTAGGTAAATGTTGCCCTTTTGGTCTCGAATAATTAACCATTCCATGGTGAGTGCACTTTACTAATGTTACTGTCCCTACCTATCCACTACTTGCATGAAAATTGAATGAGTTTCATTGCAGACCTGAAGGGTGGCAGAGGATCATACTCTCAGGTTCCTCCAGTAAGCCTGTTCTTTTTTATAATTTGGAGTTTTGTTACACAATGTCTCCCACTCTACCTGGGAATTTCTAATGTGTTCCCTTTGAGAGCAGTTGGTAGTGGTAGCCGTGCACCATCTAGTTCTTCTGGTCTCAGAGTCATGGAGACTGATATTCATGTGTTCCATTAATCCATTGGACTAATTGATTCCAAGCATCCTCAATTTTCATCACTCTTCTTTCTTCTACACATGGAGAGATCAATTGTTGCTCCTTAGATAGCCATTCATAAATTTTTAAGATACCAGTTGCTATTCACCAAAGTAGGATGTAGAACATTGTCTTTGTGGACTGAGTTTTACTAATTTACCATGATGTCCCCTGAGACTGTAGTCCTGAGACCCAGGCCCAGCAACTCACTGCCTTAAGGTGTTTGGTAATGTTTAATAAGTTTTCATCATTTTGCCCCCTGTATGCTCCACCATTCTGGTGTGGCACTGCAAGTTAATGTGCTGGACTGCAAGGTCGGATTGAACCTCAAGGTTGGCTATTCAAGCTCACCAGCCGCTCCTCGGAAACCCTATATAGGATCGTCATGGGTCAGAACCAATTCGATGGCACTTAACAACAACAAATGTTCCACCATACTCATTAGTGGTGACTTCTTGTTGTTATTAATTGTCATTGAGTTAGTTCCAAATCATGGGGACTTTATATAGAACACATTGAAATGGCCCACTCTCACATCATCTTCATGTCTTTGATATGTATTAGACAATTGTTGTGGTTATTCTGTGAATTCATCTCCTTGATGTTCTTCCTCATTTTCACTGATCCTACATATTTCTGTTGGATTACACCAAAGTGTCAAGATTGTATATTCTTATAGTTCCCAAATAACTTTACTTGTTCTACTTTTATTCATAATGAATATTAGATTTTGATTTAGAAATTTTATGACAAAATGTTGAATGATTCAACAGGCTGATCTTACTTATTTAACTAACAAATGTGCCATTATTTCAGCTCCAAATTCATGCTATTACATGCTTCATCCTACAAATTTAACAGTAGCTATTTTGGGAGAGTGACAGAAGGATCTTGGAGAAAATTTTTGTTATATTTATTTTTCTTATATATATCCTTCATAAAGTTTAACAATTATGAACAGATATTAGTTTTTTAAATAATAAAAAGCTAGTCAACTTTCAACAATATGTATTTCTATGTGTTCATAAAAATACCTACCTTGATGAATTTAGAATTATTAAATGAGCCACGAACCTGGCATATGATAAGCACAAAAAAAGTTCAGTTATTATAAATACTATTTATAATAGCACCATTTTTACTGAAGGAGCTCTGGTATCATAGTGGTTACAAGTGGAGCCAAACTGTTAACCTCAAGGTCAGCAGTCTGAAACTACCCGCTGTTCTGCAGAAGAAAGATGAGGCTTTCTGCTCCTGTAAAGATATTCTTGTTGTTGTTAGGTGCCATCAAGTCGGTATTGACTCATAGTGACCTTATGCACAGCAGAACAAAACACTGCCCGATCCTGGGCCAACCTCACTACTGTTGCCACGCTTGAGTTCATCGATGCTGCCACTCGGCCAAT